CGTCGGGCGCGGGCGGCTCGGCGCGGCGCTGCGCGGGCCCGGGCGCCTGCTCCCCCGCCTCGGCCGGCCCGCGGGGCGCCGAGCTGGTGCAGAGCCTCAAGCTGGTGGGCCTGTGCCTGGGCTCGCAGCTGCACGGAGCCAAGTACCTGCTGGACCCGCAGAAGGCGCTGTTCTCCAGCGTGAAGGTGCAGGAGAAGTCGGCCTGGAAGATGTGCATCAGCGCGCCCGGGCCCGCCGCCGAGCCCGCCCCGCTGCGGACCGGCAAGCTGCGCGCCGGCGTGCTGCAGCTGCCGCTGTGCGAGAAGACCATCTCCGTGAACATCCAGCGCAGCCGCAAGGACGGGCTGCTCTGTGCCCCCGGCCCCGCCAGCTGCTGCCACGTCATCTGACCCGCCGCGCCCCGCATGGCCCCGTGCATGTGCTACACGCCGCTTTCCTGTTCCAGCCAAGTACTGTGGTTCTACATCCATGATCTCCAGTGTGGGTGAGCAGATGGACCCAGCGGGGCGCCCAGAGGCCCGGAGGGGACGTGTCCGTGTGCAAAGCCCAGATTCCTGCCCCACTCCCGTGCCCCGAGGCCCGCTGGTGCGCGAGACGGACCCAGAGCAATAACGCGCTGCCACAGGCTGGAGGAGCCGCTGCGCCACCAGGGCCTGTGCGTCTTAAGCGGTGGTATGAAACAGTTGGGGTGCGTGTGTCGTGTTTTCGTTGACAAAGCTTTCCTGTTCTAGCCGAGATCAGCTACCAGCTGAGGCGGCTCCGCCGTTACAAGGAGACAATCTCGTGCCTGTGTGCCCGAAGAGCATCGCCCGTCTCCCCTTCAGGCCTGTGTGGACGGGACGCCGGAGGGCCAGCGGCACTAGCCCTGTCACGTGGTGGCCGCATGCTGGACTGACTTGTGGGTTGACGAGAAGCTCGGGCCTCGGTGGCCTCTGCTTTCGCCTTCCTGGCCAGTGGCTCCTGGGAGGAGCGGGGAAGGGGGTGCGGGGGTGCTCAGAGCCCAGCCCGACCTCCCTGTGCACGGCTCCACACGGATGACCATCCCAGCACCTCTTCTCCCTGCGACCCCCCTTACCGCCCCCCCACCGCTGTCCTTCCTGTCCTGTTCTCCCTAACCGGGACCCCCTGACCCTATCGCTGTCCTCCCTACCCCCCCCCCCCCCCCCCCACTGCCATCCTCCCTGCCCATGCTCCATCATCCCCTGCTCTCCTCCCTGAGCTGGGGAGCCCGGACACTGGCTTTCCACATGTGGACCTGTGGGTGTGCACGTGGCCCTCTCTTCAGCGGCCTCTCCTGGCTGGAGCGACCGCAGCAGCACAGCTGAGCGGGTAACTGGGAGCAGCAGGGTGCAGCCAGCCGTGAGTGCTCGCTCGCTCGCTCGCTGCTGCTGCTTTAGGGTTCGGGTGCACAAGCTTCACAGCGTAACTGCTGAGTAAACACTACTCACCGTGCTTCCTAGAGCTAGAGCTAGGCCAAGTGCTTGTGCTTCCGCTGCAGTCCTGCTCAGTGGGACGCCACGCACGGAGAGCTGCAAGGACAGACGGGGGGAAGCCATAGAGCACGTTTGCTTGAAACTCTTAAGCAGGGATCTTCCAAGGGCCAGGAACCGGCCGGCGCGCATCTCCCACGGCCACCTGTGGGAGCCGGAGCCGTGAAGGGGCGTGCAGTGAGCTGCCGCAGCTGCTCCCAGCGGTGTACATAGTGTTGCGTGGTCCCGCCCCGGAGGCGCCTGTGAGCTCGGCCGTCCGCGTCTGGTCCAGTGGTTTTCTATTCAGGTGTACATACGGTGCTCACCTTAGGTCAGCAGCGTCGGCCACTATGCTGCAGAGCTGTGTCAGAGCCTTATTAGTTGTGTGTGGTTGCTGACCCTCTGGGTACACACGTGTCTGTCGAGTGCTGTCTGGCCCATTTGTTGACAAGTGGACGTCTGTGCATGTGTCATATGTCATGGGATGTCGTCACGGGCGGGAGCAGAACGCCATCACACCAATAGTGGACCAAACTACTCCCTTGCTCTAACAGTGACTTGTCCCCTAACCCGTCCTCAGAAGTCACATAGAGTGACAGTAGTGGACAAATTAAATATTGTGGGAAAGCTAGTCTTGTATTTTTCTGTGTGTGTATATATATAATTATGTACTTCGGAATTCTATCTGTATTTAAAGACGTGACAATCTTGACACCGATTTTAACAGTCGTGAGACTGAACAGAGATGTCCTGTGAGCCAGAGTCGGTGTGTGCCGAGAACACATGCGTCAGCTGATTGGCCAGTTGCCTCACATCCTGGCCGGTCTCTCCCCTGTGTGAACACCGACAGGTGTGTGACAGACAGGAAGTAATCCAATAATAAAGTGACATACCGGTGTTCAGCAATAGAAGCCGAGTCCGAGTGGTTTTCTTACGAGTGTCACTTCATACATGCCCGTCCACACTGGCACACTGGCTTCAGTGGGCCCCACAGCCCTCCTCTGGATGAGGCGGACTGAGCAGCTATGCCCACAGGCTTGGTGGCCTCCAACCCCCACCGGGCAGCACTTCCTTACCCGCCAGAGGAGGGCACATGCACTCTCGGCCCCTCTCACTGCCCGGCCCAGCACAGCGCCTGGACCTGCAGCCGCTCTGGCTCCTCCGCAGCTCCGGCCTGCCGTCTCCGAGTGCTCTGCCTTCCTGCTCTCCCCCCCCTTCCTGCTCTGCTCTCCCTTCCTGCTCCTGTGGTCCCAGGTCCAGGCGGCCCCCGCCGCTCTGATTCCCCCCTGCGGCCCGTCCCCTCACGCAGCGCAGGCTTTGCTGCTGTGTCCTGCATATGCACCCTGGCTGGTCAGCATTGCCACCGCCTGCAGAGTTGGGTCAGATCTGGGAATGGCTAGAGAGCTCCTCACAGACAGTCGCACTCTTCCACAAAGCAGCAAGTCTCAGAGCATCCCGGGTTTGTGGAACACTTACAGAAGCCATTTTCACACATCCAAAAAAGGGCTCTCTCTTCAGTGTCACCTCCTTTCTCCTCAGCTCTGCCTGGCCTTAGGCAATCTCAGTCCAGGCTCCACTTCCATCCTGGGAAAGAACTTGGTGAGCTGGGTGCCTCCCTCTGGGAGTGCCCCGTCTTCCCAGACTTGTCTTCTCCTGCCACACAGTGGGGTGACTCCAAGTTCACTCCGTATGCCGGCCAAGCCTTCCACACATAGCCTCGTGTCCCCAGGGATGCATTTCCATCACCGCTGACTTGGCAGATGCATTCAGGGAGCATGGCAGTGCCAGGCCCTTCACCTCCCTGCCCCCTCAGATGGACCAGAATTCTGGGCAGCAGCCTGCCTCTGCCTGTCTCTGCAACTGAACACCTTGGCTGAGCAGGGGCCACGAAGGCCAGTGCTGGGGAGTCGCAGGCATCAGTGAGCCTGCTGAAGCTCGGCTCTCCTTTTCCCTCGGTTACTGAGCACGGGCCTTCCCACCGCAGCCAATCCTAGCTCCTCCGGACCTCCCGGAAGGCCACATCCAGGTAGGGCTCCCAGGTGTGGGCGGAGGGTTGTCTCCTGGGTGACCCTGGGCCCTGTCAGGCTGACAGTCCACCCGTTGCCACCTGGACATCCTACAGCCGCCCTACAGCGGCCTTCTGTCCCTCGGCATGGGTACACTCAGGCCAGTTTCAGAAGTGCCCAAGTCTAACGGTTCAGAGCCCATGTCACACCTGTAAACACCCATAAAACTTCCAACATAGGATGCTCCCATAGCACCCATCCCCAAAGAGAAAAAGGGTGCACAGCAGGCAAGACCAGGCCAGTGACGGAATTGCCGGTCCTGCAGCTCCGAGGCTGGCAGCTCTGCCCTGCCGTTGCACTGCAGGCTCAGCTCTCCTCAGCGGAGGGACCATGCTTCTGACCTCTAACATCCTTGGTTCCCCACTGCACAGCGCATCTCCCCTCACGGCCCTTCTCTGGCACACTGACTGCCACAGGCTGCCTGGCCGCAGCAGTGCTGTGTAGACCACATGGCCAGCTTGACGTGAGCAGGGAACCCACCCCCACCTCCCCACCCCTAGCCCATGACACCCTGAGCACACACTCTCCCTTCTCATGAGTTTCTGTTTTCACGAAATAACCCTTCCGTGGCTGGCTGGGAGTCTTCCTGCATCTCCTTCCCCTGAGCAATTGGTCTATTTCCTTTAAGATCATCTGTTCTCAAGGTCTTAGGAGAGGGACAGACTGAAACTGGGTTCTTTGCTAGAATACAATTTGAAACTCCTCCAGCCCAAGAAAGTCCTTGACTTTCTGGAACCTCACATAGGGGCCCCCACTGCCCTCATGTCTCCCAGCATGCTTGTTTTTCAGGTTCCTTCCAGAATGGCCCACTGATCTCTGCTTACAGGATTTGAAAGATTTTTCTGGCCTGAAGTTCCAAACTCTCACATTCTTCCCGCAGAACAGTCCCAACGGCCCAAGGATCCCACAGAGCGATTGTGGCAATGGACCTCCTTTTAGTTCTGATTTTGATGCTGAGATAACTATCTGATAAAGACAACTTACGAGAAGGTGGCTTATTTTAGCTTGCTGCCTTGGCCATGAAGTCGAGGCACCGTGAGCTCAGCACAGCAGCTAGCATCCTCAGTCAGGCGGCGGAGAGCAGCCGGGCAGCTGGGTGGGCCTTCCAGCTCACGCTGGACAATGGCTCCCATGTTGAGGCCACACTGAGGGCCGGCAGGCTTCAGTCTCTAGGCTCTCAGGGATTCTAGACTCCGTCAAGCTGACAGTCAAGTCCATCACACAGCCTCTCCCCTTGACCCCAGCCTTCTACCTGAGGTCACTTCCCCTTTGGGGCCTTCCCCTTCCTCTCCTGCTGGCACACTGGTGTGACCTTCACGCACTCGAGTCCTTGCATTTCTCTCCTGTTGTCTGTTCTCTACCCTGAAATGCAAGAGGGCTTTTAAATTAAATAGACTGTTCAGTGGCTAAGGGCACCGGCTCCTCCTGCAGATGACCTGGGTTCAGTCTCTGCACCCATATGGTGCTCACAGCCACCAGTGAGTCGGTCTAGAGAATCAGTGCCCTCTCCTGGCCTCGGGCAACACACACCTGGTTACAGACATGTGCACAGGCAGATACCCCTGCCCCATGGAAATCAAGCTTTAAACTGCTTCGCTCTGCAAGCTGCTCGACTTCCAAGTGTGAGGATCCCTCATGTCCGTCCCTGTGGGGTTTTCTGGCTGGGCTTGCAATCCTTCCGTCTGTTAAAATGTGCAAACCATGTTTTCGGGGTAGACGTCCTGTGTGACTGCGGTGCCCCCCCCCCCATTCGGTTCTTCCCCCAACCCTCTGCCCACTCTGCCTCACCAGTCCTTGAGACTCCTAAGAACTGGGGACAGTGGCCTCCATCCTCAGCGCCCATTTGAACAAACCTGCACAAACTTCTGCCGGGGCTAAGTATCTTCCAATTTGTGGGTAGGGAAGAGGTGTGTTCCCAAACTGAAGCAAGGACACGGCTGCCCGGGCAGGGCCCCAGGCTGCTGGGTGCCCTTCTCCCTAGGCCACACTGGGGTGCAGCATGAAGGCAGGCATGGAATCCCCGGGCTCACACCATCTGGCTGTTGATGGGAGCATCCAGGATGGCCCCTTAGGCCGAAGGGCTGTGAAATGGAGGGACTGTTCCAGCCCTTGTCCTGTGACCTTTAACCTTTCCCCAGATGCGGTTTCCCTGCTGGAATGGGGCAAGAGCTGCAGGGCTTAAGGCTGGGAGCAGGGCTCTGGATTCTGTGAGCTGGAGCGCTATAGGCAGTGGGCACGGCCTGGCAGCTGGCAAAGGGCAGGCCACTCAAGTTCTGTGCTCCTGCTTCCTTGCCCACCAAATGCAGCCAGTGTGAAGGACGTGGGGGGCCGGGCTGTGTCTCACTGCTTGGCAGGAGTTCTTTCAGCATTGCTCTTCTCAAGGTTTGTTCTGAGATTTCTGAGCTGCCAGGAGGGCGTTAATGTTGTGCCATAGACAGATAGAAGCAGGGGTTGGGGGAGGCCCCCCGGGGTGCCCCCTCAGGAGCACCGTGGGGTGCTCAGCTTTGATGGACTTGCACCAACAGCCAGCAGAAAGCTGCAGTGAGGGGTGTGGTGGGCGGTGCCCAGGGTGTGTCTGTCAGTGTCACCCTGTGAAGTTTGACTGTGAAGTGACCTGGGGCCAACCCCATGCCATACATTTCCACCGACACCTGTGGCACTTGTAGCTCACACTTGAGGAAAGCAAGATGAACTTAACGTGGTTAGTGGTGCCAGTCCTCAGTTAGGCAAACTCAGGCCCAGGCCCCACAGCCTCTGGGAAAGTGGGTTAGGTCTGCTCGTGTCTGGACCCAGAGCCGGGGACTCTTGGGACAGCCTGGGCATCTGCTGAACCTGCTGGTCAGGGACCGGACACTGAGGCAGCTGTCCACACTCACCTCCGGCTGAGGGTGACACCCAGAGTCTGCCTCATGTCACACCTTGCTGGGAAGAATTCCAGGCAGGGCCTGTGGGACAGGCTTGTGTGAGACTCAGCTCCCTCAGGCCTCCCTTAGGCCTGGGCTCCTTTCCCACGCCTGGCCTACACGCTGGCCTTCGCATGTGGACGCCTCTGGGCAGCTGGGACGACACTGGGTGTGGATGAGCCTCTCGTTCCCCAGGGAATACCTGCTGCTTCTTATCCTTGGGCCTCAAGGATGCTGCTCAGCAAAGCGGGTTGAACTTCACCTCTGGCCTCTACAGGCCTGGCCCCGGCTCAGTGCCGCTGTCCTGGGTACTGAGCCCTGGTACTCCTTACCCAGCCAAGCAGGACCTGCGCCATGCTGTCTGAGCCTGTTAATGGGAGCTGGGGTCCAACGGTCTTGGTAATCAGGGTGGGCAAGAAGGAAAAAGCAGAGGGGTTCCACCCAGGTGACCCTCAGAGGCCAGGGGAGTGGCAAATGGGACCGTTTCTCTTGGTGTGAGTCATCAGGGGGGCCGAGGGTGGAGTGTGGGGACTCCAGGCTCGAAGTCAAGTGCCATGGCCAGCCTGAGGGCTGAGGTGAGCCCAGCAATGAGGAGGCTGAGCAGTGGCCAGACCCTGGGGAATGAGGTGGCATGGGTGAACAGGCAAACAGGACAGGCCTGGGGAGCAGGTGCAGGCACAGGCGCCTGCCTCAGTTCGGCGACAAGGGGCAGCAGAGGCAGAGCAGCCAGCAGGGCTATGACACCTGCCTCTGTACTGCGCAAAGGGCTGCTGTGGGCAGCACTCAAGCCGCTCTGAGTCCTGGGGACAGAAACACAAGCCCAGTTACAGCTTCTCAGAGCAGTGCCTGGCGTGCCCGGCCTGTCCCTGCATCCTTTGTGGCCACAGGCCCAGGGGAGCACCCTGTTCCCTCTGGTGACAGAAGTGGGGCACGTGGAAAGGCAGCAGCTGGGCCCACGTGCGGGAGAAAGGCCGACAGTCTCAGGCTGGGTACCAGGCGTGGCTGATTGACAACCACCGTGTTCCTGTGACTCCCAGCCCCGGCTCCGTGGGGGACCAGGAGCCCAGACAAAGGATCCCATTTGAATTCCTTCCTTTCCCAGAACACCTAAGAACCAAGACTTAAGGGCAGATCTTGGGGTCTCGGGGCTTGGGTCTTCTTCATGGCTTCCATATACTGACTCTTCATTATGAGCCTGATCTCCAAAGTTCCATCAGGAACCTGACAACACTGCATAACCTTACTCCTCCTGAGTAAGGGTGAGGACAGAGGTCGGAGCAGGGCTTGTAAACCACATGACAGCAAGCCTGTTTCTCTGGGTAAGGTGGGCTGTGGGTGCAGCCCACTGAGCTCCTGCTGGGGTCGTGGCAGCCCACTAGCAGGAACACCTCCTGAGGCAGGCCTCCCGCAGGTGTGGTCAGCCGCTGGGTCCCAGGAAACCTGGGCGTGGCTAAGAGCTTTGCGCTTCGCTTACCCTGGGGTCCCGTCTCATGGCAGCACACCTCACCACCGAGCCCTGGAGGCGGCTGGAGCGCTCATACTCTGACAGGAAGCAGGAGTCAGAGCAGAGGGGCTGCCTTTAATAGCTCAGTTACACAGTGTCTGCCAACATACGGCCACACAGAACCCAACCCGGGAGATTCGGGTGTGGGAGCTCCCATCCTACAGCCTTAGCATGGCTCCTGTGAAGGGTTTAGAGGGCACAGACCCTGAGCCACACTCCATCATGGGCCTGGCACCTACTGTGAACAGCGTATGAAAAGCTGGTGATGCCTTGGGGTTGAAGTTCAAGGGCAGCAAAGGCAGTTGGAGGGGTGGTTGGGTCCAGATGAGGGGGCACCAGGGAGCTACCAAGAGTCCCTGACTCTTCCCCACAGAGCCAGTAAGATTGCCTGCCGAGTCTCGGCCACTTCACACAGCCAAGCATCTGGCCCGGACTCCGGCTGCCCCTCCCTGTGCAGCTGTTCTCACAGGCTGGGGACGGGGTGGCCAGCACTCAGGTAGCTTCCTTCCCGTCTTCCTGGGACTCCTCCTTCAGGTTTTCAGCCACCAGCTTCATTTGCTGTGGAGAGAACACAGGACACCAGCTGAGCCAGCAGGGCCAAGGGGTGGCATGGGCATGGCAGAGGCTCCGTTCCGCAGACACCCAGGTGAGAACTGGCACCCAAGAAGGACATGTCCTGAGGCCACTGCCCACCGCCCACTTCCTGAATCCCTCCCCCAGCTTGGCAAGAGTGGCCATTGGAGGAAGAGACAGCATGGTGAGCACAGACAGCAAGGCCTAACAAGCCTTTGGCTTTCCCCTGGACGGAGTGGGATGACAGGGCCTAGGAAAGACACACCAAAGTCTTTCCTCTGTCCCTAGAAGCTGAGTGACTGCAAAGTTTAGCCTGGTGAGCACAGCACCCAGATGTGCCCAGGTGGCAGGCAGCTGTGCCCTCTTTCGCAGCTGCCGCCTTCCACAGAGCCCATACCCCTGGGGAGGAGCTGGAGAAGAGCCACGAGTCCCTGCCTCCCCCGCCCTGCAGATCCCGCCACGTCTCCCCGCAGCACGGGAGAGCACACCTCCTCTGTCCTGCGCCACCCCCACTCTGGAATGCTGCTGAAAGCAGAGGTTTCTGACAGCAGCATGTACCTCTGAAAAAAGCACTCTTCAGGTGTGAGCAGCGCTGGCCTGCAGGTACCAGGCTGTCCCCACCAGGGCTTGTGTCACATGAGCACAAGGGCCCTTCCCAAGGCCCTGACCATGGACAGGTGTGGGGTGTGATGAATCTCAGTCTGCTGTTCCTCACAGCCATTTTCTTCCACATGACTAGGGGATGGCTGCGGACGCTAGCCCTGATCTGCATCTTCAGAGAGACAGGGAGGCCGTTAATGGGGGAGTGATGGGTAGAGGGAGGTGAGCAGCTGACCAGCGCAGGGCCTGGGGCACTGGGCCGACACTGGAGCCAAGGCTGGCTCAGCTCTCCCTGCCCAGGCCTCACAGCCGCGCTGTGATACCCGCAGAATGACAGTTGGTCTGAATTAGTCCACAAACCTGCAGAAACAAGCCCCAACATCTGGCACAGCTTCTCCAAGGGAGGCCACCAGGCCACTGACGGGAGCCAGGGGCACTGTACCACCGCCAGCTGGTGTCGCTCAGTGACTATGCAACCTGGAATGTCTTTAAGACCCAAAGAATGAACGCATGGGGGTAGAGAACCTATGTCCTGATGGGCAAGTCTAAAGACAGTCTCAGTTTAGCAGGGACGCTGGCACTTCAGCAGGGCAAGCACTGGCAGCCTCTGAGGGCCCTGTGAGGTGCCAGCTGCGCCTTCACATGCAGCTCGTGTGTGACAGGACACACAGCAAAAGGACACACAGGAGCCCATAGCTCCCCCAGGGGAGGCTCTTCCAGGATGCAGCCCAAGGCAAATGGGATTTCTTCCCTGGGGGACCTACGTAAGTGGCCATTGTCTCTATTTGACTTTGCTATTGGACAGGAGTATCCGAGTGGCCATAGTCACTCCCTAAGGCCAACGAGGCCCAGAATCTGCCAGGCGGGTTCTCCTGCAGCCTGCCTGGGCCGCAGGGCCACGCTGCTTTGCTGTGGCAGGTAGGGGAGGTCAGGTGTCACAAGAGGTCTGGCCTCTGCTTGCCCTGTGCCTCCCTCTGTGGCTGGTCCTTCAGGATGGTCTCTCTCGACACAGTTAGGTCCTGCCAGAAGGCCCCAGGGCTACCAGCTCTTCAGGTTCTCTTCAGTAACGCTGGCCTTGGTGTGTGTGAGTAGGGGTGAGGGCAGGGAGCAAAGTCACACCTTTAAACGTAACTGGACTCTTTGGAAACCCTGAAATTAAAACCTGCATAACTGTCAGGCAGAATAAGATAACAGAGCTGACCTTTCCCTAGAAAATAGGAACAGAGTGGAGAGAGAATGGACTTCTTTTTAAACTGGTGACTCATTCATATACTCAAACTTCAAATGGTCCTTTAAAAGTGCAGGTGGTTTCCTATGCCCACTCTCAGCCTGGGGAAGATGTGTGGCCAGGTCCCCTTCCTTGTGGGGAACTACAGAACGGTCTTCTGAGCCTGTTTCCCCAGACCTGGGATGGCTGCGGTGGATCCTGCTGACCTCAGCGCTGTAGGCCTCCCTGACACCCTCAGACCTTCCGGGCCCTGTGACAGAAGCACGTGGAAACTGCTTCCTGGTCACAGCTACTGCACTGCTGAAAATCTCCCAGCGCCTACCCAGCCCCAGCCACCAATGTGAAGAAGTGTGAGCATGGCTGGGCTGGAGGCTGTGTTTAGGAAAGGAACACACTCAAGGCCACCCGGGCCTCAGCCCTCTGGAGCATACAGGCCTTTGGCTGGGTGGGCTTCGGTGAAGAGCAGACACTGAAGGATGTCCTCAAGGTGGCCTGCGCCCCCCCGCCCCAGGCTTCCGAGGAGCAGGGAACTGGCCTGGGATAGAGTAATCCAATTGTCGCTGATTTAATTGATCTGGGCACAGCCCAGACAGTAGGACTTCCGGAAACTCCCTGCACTGAGGTAGAGAGCCGAGCCTCTGAGAGAGGGTGACAGGAGCAAAGGCCTCCTCCGCCCGCCCTGCCATCTGGCACGGTGGCATCTCCAGAGGAGCACCTTCTGGGATAGCTGGCTAAACCTCTGAGAGCAGTAAACAGGCGGAGACGGGAGAGACACGGCCAGTGGTGCCTGGCTCCCAGGTTTCCGTCAGGCCACCTAGCCTGTGGCCTCTGTCCTTAATGTACACCCGACCCTTTCAGGGACCTCAGTGCAGCTCATCCGTCTCTTGCAGCCACGTCAGAAATTGTGTTCAGCTTGTGGTTGGAGACCCAGAGCCCCCTGGACACCTGGCAGTCGCATGAGGACTTGGCGTCTGGGCTGAGGCTCAGGTCCTGCTGTGGACCAAACCCAGAGCCTTGCCTTTGACAGACAGACATTTGCCCACTAAGCTAAGGCCCCAGCCCCAGAGAGGCTTCAAAAGTCAGCAGCAAAAGATGGAAACTGTCCTGGGAAAGTAAGTTAGCAGCTGCTTAACTACCTGAACCTACAGCAAGAGGGAGCTGGTGAGCAGAGGTGCTCTGATGCCAGAGACCAAAGACTCAGGAGAGCAGGACCTGGCAGCAGACAGCAGCTTCCAGAGCATGCCAGAGAGCAGCAGTGTGGCCCACTCCAGATGTGCCAGAGAGCAGCAGTGTGGCCCACTCCAGATGTGCCAGAGAGCAGCAGTATGGTCCACTATCCAGATGTGCCAGAGAGCAGCAGTGGGGCTCACTATCCAGATGTGAAAGACAGGAAGACGATGAGTCCATAAGCCACCTTTAGGAAACTTTCCGACATGGTGAGCCAAGCAAAGGCTCTGGGGTGCACTGGAACAGCTTCTAAACACAACCCTGCTTTGGGGGCTCCTCCTTCTTAGAGGAGTGGGGTGCAGTGAAGTGAGCTTGTGCATAAAGGCACAGGGCAGCTTCGTCCTTGAGGAGAAAGTGACCTTTTCGCAGCCTGTGCGCCCAAGGTTTGGCCTGCAGGGTTCACAGCATGGGGCTGGGGGAGGAGCGGCCCGCCTGGCCGACCTGCAGGCTGCTCGGACAGCACCAAGCTCCTCTGGAGACGCCACTCGGAATCAAAACTACAGCTTCGTTGAAATGAGCCACAGGTCGCCATGCCAGCCTGGTGCTGCCTGGGTGCTGCCTGGGTGCCTGTTGGCCCCAGAGGAGCTGTGAGAGGTGGCAGAGCAGCTGTCTAGGCTTATCCCTGCTTCTGACCATATCCGAAAGGCTCCATGATTTCTTCTTAATCAGATAACACAACGGCAATAATTTACTATTCTAGATGAGACATCATAGACCACCCAAGAGAACACGAGTGTTCTAATTTTCTTATGCCACAATCACCCAGTGAAATTAGGTGATGCTAGGATCACCAAATGATGTGCGACTAAAATAAAGTACTATAAATTCAGAAAGGTCGGGAGCTAGGACTAAAATGAGAGGAGGAGCAGTGTTGGGCAGTGATCTACAGGCTTCTAAAGACCCCGAGCTCTAAAGAAGCTATCCCAAATATACTTCTAAATGCTATTTATTAGCTGGGTGTGGTGGCACACATCTTTAGTCCCAGCACTTGGGAGGCAGAGGCAGAGGATCTCGGTGAGTTCAAGGCCAGCCTGGTCTACAAAGTGAGTCCAGGACAGCCAGGGCTACACAGAGAAACCCTGTCTCTAAAAACAAAAACAAACAAAAAACCCAACAAACAAAAAAGCTATTTATCCTTTCTAGTGTCTATCATTCACTTAAACAACAGTTTCATTTTAGCTTGTCATATGTGGTGCAATGCGCTTAGATCACACTCACCCCTTGCCTTGCACAACTTCCTTCAGCAGAGGAGTGATCGCCTTAGCACCTTTAATAAGTACCTGGAGTGCAACAGAGGGGAGGGGGGCCTTCGGGCCTGAGCTAGTGGGAGCACAGAGAGCAAAGCTCAGCTTAGCAGGAGCCAGGCAGCTGAAGAGGAGTCACCCGGAGGTGGTGGCACTTGTCTCTAATCCCAGTTCAAGGCCAGCCTGGTCATAGAGCAAGTTCTAGAACAGCCAGGGATACACAGAGAAACCCTGACTGGAAAAAACAAACAACAACCAAAACAGGAAAGAGAAAGAATAGAAAGAAGAGAAAGAAAAGAAAAGAAAGAAAGAAAGAAAGAAAGAAAGAAAGAAAGAAAGAAAGAAAGAAGGAAGGAAGAAGGAAGAAAGGAAGGAAGGAAGGAAGGAAGGAAGGAAAGGAAAGGAAGGAAGGAGAGCAAACAGCCAGGCAAGAGGAGGAGGGTGCTCCAGGGCAGCCAGGAGACAGGTTTCTGAGGGCGAGGCTGTGCAGACCTTGAGAGGAAGATGGTGGAGGAGGGGAGGGACCCAGGCCAGTTGCCAGGCCTCCCCTGCCCTCGCTGCGGCCTGGCTGCTGAGTCTGCTGACCTTGTCTACATGCCACTCTGCTCGAGTCCCTTTTCCTTTCCGTCCAGGTTTCTCTCTCCTCATCGTCCCTCCTCACCTCCCTTTTCTCTGCTCGAGTCCCT